CCCACGGGAGACAGTCCTTGATGAACCTCTCCAGTGTGAGTCCATCCACCCCTCGGGTAGCAGTTCTTTTCAACGTGTTGCCCTGTGGACGACTTCCCCAAGCGGGTGCAGTTCTTCATGGGTTGAGCTGTAGCGACGTGGTCTCCCATGGGGGCCACAAGTCCTACCCGGAAAAAACTGCTCCGCCGTGGGCTTCCCCCTCCGCGAGCCACAGGTCTTCAGCAGGACTTTGATCCATTTTGGGCCTCCCACAGGGGGTCACAGCCTCCTTCATGTGTCTTCCTGCTCCAGCATGGACTCCTCCATAGGCTGTAGAAGGGTTTCTGCACTCCAGTGGTTCTTTATAGGAAGCACCCCCCCTCTCCCCTTCCTCCCTCCAGCTGCACTGGTCTTGGTGACTCCTTGTTCTCACGGATTGGAATTTCTTCTGTGTAACAACCTTCTCTTCCCCTGTTCTTAAATATGTTATCACAGAAGTGCATCTCATTGGCTCAGCCTTGGGTAGCAGCAGGAAATCCCTCCTGGAACTGACTACCATAGGTTTTTCATAGGACAGTGAAAACTTCTAGTAGCTTCTAACAGAAGCTACCCTATAGCCCCTCCCTGCTACTAAAACGCAGCTATAGGTTACACCCATGACACTTGCCTAACTACAGCTTCTGCCAGAAACCAGCTCATGGTCTTCTAACTCCCTTGGTATAAGAGCTCATTCCTCTAAGTTCAAAGGAATAATCTTACTGCTACCAGTATCCTTCTGCTCCTGGGAAGGTGTCCATGCCGAGGGCCTGTATCACCCTTATAACAAGAGCTTCTAAGGCAGCAGTTAAAAAAATCCCCAAAGAAACACCAAACAAAAAACAACAATGAAAAGGCAAGACCAAGTAGTTGTAAAAAAGGTAATAGGAAGGAATTTAGGAGGAAGGGCAAGAGAAGCAAAAAAGCATTGTTTGGCCGTTATTTGAATGCCATTTTTTTGTATGTGTGACCTCTTGCATAGAAATTCACCATTTTCTAATTTTTCCATAGACGAAAATAAGCAAAGGTGGATAAACAAGAAGTTTTTAGCTGACTAGTCTTTTAAACAAACATATGGCTTATATGATTTACATGGTCTAAAGATCAGATGTTTTACATTTTTAGTCAGAAAAACATATTAAAATCACATCTTATTAATAAATACCACACTAGCAAAAATTGCAAGATTATAGTACTACATTAATAATTCACTTGAAGCAGTATCTCTCTCCTTCCAAAGAGGAATACAGCCAACTTAATGAACTGTATAGCTGTAGAATGCTTGGAATTAAGACCTACTGAAATTACTGATGGGCAAAAAAGAAAATGTCATTCAGATACTGAAATCAAAATGGATGCAGAATGAGTAAGGTTAGATCTGCTGGGGGAAGAAGGGGAAAGAAGGAGAAAAAAAAAGATAGAGAGAAACATGAAACACCAGATGACACATTCTGGAAACAGGCGTTGCCATGGAAAAGCAGTGGCTGTTATATACTCTTAGGGTGCAGATAAATAAAATACTTACATCACAAAAAAAAATGAAGAAAATATGATCACAAGAAATCAGTTCTAAACCTGACAACTTGTCCATTATGGTCAAATGAGACTATGGGTATATCAGCAAGACATCTATACTCCCTTCAAACAAACTTGTCAATGGAACTCCTTACTCAAGATGTTCCCCTTTGCTTTACAATACATTTGCTCTGGACACCTTTCTAAAACTGAATGCTTTAAGGTCTTTGAGGTCCTACTCTTGGACATTTGCTCCAGTATTTGCTTGTGCATTCAAACTAATCAACCTGGTGAACAGTTCTTTAAATGAGTTCTGGACCTTAACACTGTACAAGTAAGAAAAAATTCTACAGCAGTGTCACCACGGAGTCAAGAAGTAAGTGCACAGGCACTTCAGCTTGTCAAGGAGGAAGTCAAGGAGAATAATTGGCACTTTGGGAAAGGTATATTCACAAAAAACAGCACCAACAGCTGCAAAAACGGTTGCTCAAACACTTCTGTAAGTTCTCATATGCCACCCATGTGATGTGGCTAAAGGATCCAAAGTTGAGGAGCTGAGACCTCCCTAACTCAGGCCTTTTTTAATCCAAGTGATGCCCAAAGCTCCTCCATAAAGCATAGGTGGTCAACTAAACTGTGATCAAAGCTGATGCAGAAAACTTTGAGTGCCTCCAAGTACCACAGTGCAAATAACTTTGCTAACAAGAGAATGGAAAGTGAATGATACTGGTTGAAGGAACACAGTTTTTTTGGATCCAACAGTGCCTGTGTTTCTTTATTTCTGGCTATGACATTCACAGATGAACATGGGAAGGGGTCCATCCCTTTTTTCCCTACTCACATGCTCTCTTCCCTCCCTGCTTCTACAGTCATTAAATGATTTTTGCATTAGAGACTTGAGGCCTATTGCTTGCCTAGTTCCCAAAACTGGAATTTGAGGCTTAATGAGAGACAAGAACAATTATTAGACTCAGTTGCTAAGGGAACCACAAAACCTGCTGAGAAATGTTAAGCAATGAACTCCATATGGATGTTGGTACCTTAGTACCTTCCTCCTTGTACAGCTAACACACATCCTCTTGCTGTCCCAATCACTGAAAAAAAACCACTTAAAAATATTAACTCTTATTCCACAACTAGCAAGAGTTTTCATGACTTCAACAGGAGCTTTTAGCTTAATACTTTTTCTGTTTACTTAATACTCTACGCAGCTAAGTTAATTACTCCAACGTTTCAATGATAACTCACATTTTGCACCTGTGTCTGTTTTTTTTAGCCTAAGGAAGGCTGCTCTTTCTACTTGCTGTTCCTCAAGAATGACACTACACAGCTCTGCAAATGACTCAGTTAAACACGGTCCCTACTTTGCTAACTTGAAGATAGTTTGGGTTTTCATACCTGACAGCAGTGTTTTCCTTGCTAAACCTTCCTTTTCATCTAGAGGCAAAGCAGAGAGAGATGACATTTTATGTCCCTTGAAGGACAGGCAGGACCTCACACTGCAGTACGGGACCCAGCTGTTCACAGAAGCTGATCTGTTCACAGTGTCAGAGACCGTGCAAGATTTTTCTACGATGGAGTTAGCAACATGAGGCAGAAGAACAATACCTGCTTAGTTAAATTTACTTCTTTGGGAGTAATACTGAAGCAGGTTTGGTGTAAATTTGAATAATAAAGATAAGTAATTTTCTAACCACTATATCCTTCTTGAAAAGCCAACTCTTCTGTGATTCCAGTGGTTGTTCTGAAAGAGATTACATTTCATGTAATAGGGAGGGAAGAAAGCATATGGGGGGGATGCCAAAACTCACTGAAATAGTAAAATGCCAAGAACTTTTAAAAAAAGAGAATAAAATAAAAGTGCTTGTTACCATACTCGGTTGGGTATTTCATTTTTGGGCAACACCATTTTAATGGAAAATATTTGAAAGAAAAAAAACACTTTCTGCCAGTTTATGCAAGGAAAACAGTATACTGTGAATCCTTGATCCCTAGGAGAAGAGAGTGAGAGCACAGACCCCTATGTGTAGCTTCCTAAGGTATCTGTTTTTCAAGAAAATCACTTAAAATCTTGATTTCCTATGGATGCTGTGTAGAGACACTTTAATGGAAATTGCCATCAGAGAGAGTGGGATGGGGTATGACTTTCTGCCTTCTGCACCTGAGTTACGCCAACTAAATCCTTTTTTCATTCAACTCTATTGTTTTTAGTGGACACCAGCCAATAAATAATTACGTAATTCCCCTCCTGTACATCAAAAGACAGCTTCTCACAGACTTTGATACACCTTGCACCAGGCATCTATAAAAGATGATCCTCAACATCTTTAAAAGATGCCTGGAAACAGATCCTCACAGACATGTGTGAATAGAAAAAATAAATACTGTTAGGTCTTAAAATGTGCTTTGCACAGATTTCAAATGTTATTGAAGCCTGACACAATGAAGCCTGTTATTTAGCCACAAGAAAGAAAATTACTTTTTAAAATTTTACATAGGGTGCCCATATATGTTATCGAGTCTATAACAAATCACTAGTCTACCCACACGACCTGCACTGTGAAACTGAGTTTCAAGTGTGATGCTGCTAAGGGAATGACACAGCTTCCCTGCCAGACTCGATCTTGCATTATCACTAAGTGCAATGCTTTTTTAAAGCTTGGCTTGTACCACTAACATCCCTAACTCTCTATGGGTATATGCCATGGCATTTTTTGCCAAGAAAATAAAAAAGCTCCACTCGGAAGGCTGTGCAAGGGGCACACTGCAATTACCCACAATCACTGTTTAGACACTTTGAGAATGAAAAACCTGCTTCTGAAACTGAAAGAAAACAGAGAATCTGAAAGAATGTCCAGACGAGGCGCGCTGCTTTTCTGGGAACACGCAGCACACCTCAAAAACTGATTTCGGCTAACTGCAGACTCGTGCTGAGGGGACGCTCCATTTCAATTACCTTCGGCTCCTGCAAGTGCGAAATCACTTCTCCGCGGCGCTTTCCCCGACGGACATGAGTGCGAAAATTTTCCGCTTTCTCACCACAGACCGACGGAGCCAGCCCTGCCCCTCGCCACCCCCGGACATGGACTCGGGACCGAAAGGGGTTATTTCCACCGCCCCTCGCGGACCCTTGTGGAGCGCAGGACTCCCAAAGACCAGCGCACCGACGGAGCGAAGCGGAGCAGCAGCCCCGAGGGGTTCATCGGGCACCCCCCGCGCCCCCGCCGCCCGCACCGGACTGGCGGCACCCGCCCGAGCCCCCACTCACAGTCCCGTCATCGTCCACCCCCAGAAGGTGTCCGTGGAGGATCTCCATGGGTGCGGAGGCGCTGGAGTGCACGAAGGTCCCCTTGAAGACGTGGGCGAGCGGCGGACGCTGCGGGGAGCCCATGGCGGCGGGATGGGCGGGCGGCGCTGCGAGCTGCCACCAGCGGGCTGCCGCCCCTCGGTGTCTCCCGGTGCCGCCGGCGGCTTCCTGGAGCTGTCACCATTTCCCCACCCCCTGGTGACTTTCTCTTCGGGGAGTGGTTTCGACGAAGGGAGGGCGGGAGGTGCCCGCGGGCAGTGCGAGGGGTGCCCCGAACCCGGAACCCCCCGCCTCCCCGACGCTGATCCCCTCTCCGAGGGATGGGTCCTCCCCCGTGCGAGGGTCCCGCAAGCCCGGACCAATGCCCGGCGAGTTTTGGGGTCCCACTTACTCCCTGGGAAGCGGTGGATAAGCCGACAAGGTGTCTGTTAATGCTTTACTAGTGTCTGGCAACTCGCTTTTGCAAACAACATGAAGGTTGTAACCACTTGCAAAAGTTTCATTTACAGTAGATTGGGTTTGGAGGTTGGAAAAGACCTTTAAGATTTTAAAGTCTCAGGCTGATTCCTCGGTCCTCGGCCTCTGTGCGAGGCACGTTTGTAGGGTATAGGAGCAGAAAACAGATGCCAGCTGAAGTACCAGAACTACCAGAAATAGGCAGCCTCATTCAATGAGGATGATCTACAGAAAAAGAGAGAGCAACTTCAGGAAAATGAAAGACAGGGAAAAACTAATTTTGTTAACTCAGAGAACTGTGTTCCCAGAACCATATTCCCTCCAGCAACCTAAGTCAATGTATATCATGAACACATGCTAAGAGGATCCCTATTGAAAATATTGGGATAAAACTTCAGAGACAGAATGATGTATACCAAGGATAACACCATGAATGTCCTCTGAATTCCTGTTTGAAGACACCCTTATTCATCAGCTTGTCAAGTTATGAATGAACTTGGCACCAAGAGCACTGACATTATTGCTCTCAAGGCTGCATTGCAAAGTTTGTCATTATATGGTTTATCATTAAAAGACCTTTGCACTTCCCACTGTGCTGACACTATACAAATGCATAGCAGATTATCTTTCTGACAAACTCTCCAGATTAGTGCTGGTAGGAGAGAGAAACACACTGGGAAATCACAAAATAAATTTAATTTTGATCTGCTATGAACAAGTCACCAGCCTTTAACTTGCCTCCCTTCTATAAGAATATATTAGGTTGCTGAGAATGAAGTTTAAAAAAATTGTATTTACTGATATCAATGGAATGTCCTTTACCTGGATTTTGAGATCAACTTAATCAGGCAATAAAGGGTGTTCAGAATAAAACAAACATGTGAAAGTGACTTTTACATACTATACTGGCAATTGTTGTGACAGGTCTTGAAGTTTAAGAAGACTTTAAAAATAATATCCCAAGATAAAATTGAGTGTTTTAAGACACAAGGCAGTTTTTTGGTTTATTTCTATCTTCTTTGACATGAGAATCTAGCACGCAAAACAAATCATTAATTGGTCTTGCAGGTTAATCTAGTTTGAAGAAGAAGCAGGCGTAAGAATCTTTCATGCAGTTTAGTTTGCTAATAGTAATCCGGCTTCCTTGAAGAACAGAATAATAAATGTTTAAAAATAGAACCAAAAGTCTTCTAAATTAGCACTTGCAAAATCCCTCTTCCAAAGTTGTTTCTCAGGGTGATGCTATTGTGTTTCTTAAGGCTGCAGCTGAAATGAGCTGTATTCCAAGCTGTTATTCCAGGTGAGGAAAATTGGTTTTTGCTGTAGGAAGGATAAATAGTGAGAGAGGGGCTGTTTTTGCTATTGAATAATAAAGGTAGAGGGGCTGGAGATGAGAAATAGGGTGAAGGGACCAAGCCCTGCAGAGGTAAATTCACTTGCTCTTTCTGTGCAGAGAGGAGTGAAAACAACTTTCCCCAGAAATAGCTGCAGCTCCATACAGCTTGCCTTTGCCCTGTTGGCAGCAACTAGTTTGATTTTCCTCTCCAGTGTGCTGCCCTAGGACAGCTGTGTGCTTCACTTAACGCAAATCAGGCTACACACAGCTTTTGGTTCAGAATCCCAAGCTCTTGTGCTGGCTGCTACCCAGACTCACGTACACTGCTGTCCAAAATAATATTCAGCAGAACTCACAGTTCCCAAGAAACCTTTTGGTTATGTTCAGTAGGGAAGTGGGCTGCTCCCGAGAATCTGACGCTCCTTAAACTCTGGTTTTCCATTGAAAGCCTCAGAGATTTCCTCCAGCTTCCTTACAAAAAGAATGATAGTCCAGTGATTTCAGTGAGATATAATCCAGAGAGAATTTATTCAAGAGAAGAAAATAAAAAACTATTTACAGTTTCTTCCTTCAGCACTTTTGGTGGAGAAATGTCAATAACAAACATTGTTAATGATAATTTGTTTCTGTTAGTGGGTTCCAAACACTCTGAAGTTGTATAATTTCACTGTCAAAAGAACTAGAGATCTCTTCTGCTTTTTCCAGCTGTCACATGGGAGAGGATGATAGTCGTGGAAGAGTGCTAACACCCTTCTCTCCTCCCAGAATTTCTTTGGGTTTTAGTTTGCAACGGTTACACATGCACACCCTCGATACTTGCATGACTCAAGGTGAAACCTTGGCCAAGTATGAAAAACTGAGTCATTCTTCCAGAATATTGTAAGAACCTTACAGTGATGTATGTTTAGTTTTGCTGGGATATGCTGGGCCAGACACTTCACCTTTTGGGATAGAAATGTGATGCTCAGTTGTGACTGTTACGTAGTAATTAACTTAACGAGTGAGTGAAATACTATGCTTTTTGTCTTTTTTTTTTAAATTGGTTAAGAGTCTGAAGAGAGAGATTTACCTTCTTTAAAATTATGCTTTTTTAAATAGCATTCAAAATAAATCTTAACTTTCAAAACTCTTTGAAATTATCATGCATGTGTTAAGACATTTAATAATTAATAATATGTACTTTGTTCTAATGCTGTTTTTAAAAAAAATCTTCCTCACTATTCACTAGCTTATCAGACTCTCTGTGTCTTCTAAATTATTGACTTCTGAGCAATTATAGAAATGACTCCTTAGTTGAGTCCTGAAGCCAAACATATTTTAAATCAGAAGAATAATCAGTCAATGTACTTCCAGGAGGACAGGGAAGATTTTAACAGGATTAGAGTGCCTTCATTCTCCTTAACACTTCCAGTTTCTGATCTTTTTCTCATTTGTCACACTAAACAAATGAATAATTCAATTACTTGTTTCAAAGTTTCAGGGCACCTAAGCTGACCCTCCAACATCTGAGAAATAAAAAGAAAAAGAAACCTACTTCTCTCCACTGCTTTCAAAAAGTAGTTGATGGGGTATTTTCCACCAGCCAAAAACACCTGTTGTCAAGAGTCTGTTGAGGCCAGTGCCTGTGGAGCCTGAGCACCAGATCACAAAAATTATTATTTTTCTGATGTAGCAATGAATGTTATTATAGCATTTGTTATGAAAAATGTACCTTGTCTATAATTTGTAACGTAGCAACTAGGTAAATGGATTGAAAAAATACAGTTGACTTATCTGCTATGAAGTGATTTTTTTTTCTGTATAAGAAAGAGCGGATTATGTGGTTAATACTTGGGATTACTCAGAAAAAAAATTAAGCATGATTTCAATATCTCTTCTCAAGTCTGAAATTAAGTCAAGAGCTAGATGATAATCCAGCATAGGCTACTTCAGACACCTCATTTCCCCACAAACATTTATATAATCAGAATCTGTTTTTATTACTTAATTTTTCCAACTCCATCTAAAACTGAAAATTGTCCCACCCAAAAAGAATAAGAAGCAATGACCACACACACAACTCCATGTCATTTACCACCATGGGTATTCAGTCTGCAGGTCCCAGATAGAGCTTTCGGCCTTTGATATCCAATTCTAGGAAGGCTTGGGAAGCCAAGCCTCAAACACTGCAAGGGGAAGCTGGAGTTACCTTCTGATGCTTCTACCTCCAAAAGGGTCCATAGTACTGTCATAAAATATCCCATAATTAGAATTTAGAGATGGTGTGTCCTACTTATTCACTGATACATAATTAACTGAAACACAGATTGACCGATGTTAGTTCTAACACTTCTGAAATTTTTCTCTTTTACTGCCAAGGCTTGTTCATAACAGGAATTGTAGTAACTAATTCAGTAAAGTTCTTTAGAAGAGCCAGGAAATATACAATATCAGTAAAAGTCATCTCTCACTAGAAGCACTAACATGAATGGGTGAAATATGTCAAAAGGTTTTGATGGCAAACTTCTTTCTGTTTTCCACAAGACACACAGGATCAATCCACACATTTGCTAGACTTAACCTCTGATCATGTTAAAAGAAACCAGAATGCAATTTGGGTGTCTGCTCTTGTTAACAGGGGTTTATGGAAAACAAATTGGACATGACTTCCTGTTCCCTGAGACCTTTCACTGACAAGAACTTGATCTGTGGAATTACATTGCATGGTGAATGCAACACACTTAATATAATGGGATCAGCCAATCTCTGGTCATGGCAACATTATAAACCATTCCATGTAACTGTTCAAAAGTCACTCTCTTGCTAGTCTCATTTTTATGCTTAAAACCAATAAAAAATAATATTCTTCATATATTCTTAAGTGACTAGAGATTTACCTAACTTTTCGTTGCTAACAGAACATAAAACACTTCAGACATGTAAACATAAATAAATTGTCATAAGGAATTCAAATGAGCTGTTACTATTGATTTCCCATTTATTGCTGTCCACAAGTGAACACTTTTCCTGCTTTACTTAGAAGCAAATTCCAGTAATACCGGAATTATTTTCTTCTAAAGTGATTTGTGAACACTGAACCATGATGACGAATCTAATTTAAAAATTTAATTAATAACATAGGTATCCAAACATACATCTGTAAAATCACTTAATAATTGCAATGTATCAACCAGCAATTGCATTTCTAAGCTGTTCAAGGGATCTCTTCATGTGTGCCAGTGTTCAGTATAGTAGTAAAATTGTCATGAAAGGTTTCATGATCATGTTGGAGACAGTCTACTAGAAATATAAAATTAATAACACAGTATTATTATTTCATCACTTTATTCCAGAAAGTATTAAAACATAAATGTATAAACTGTGAGAATTAAAAAAACCCTAAAAATTAAAAATCAGACACTCCAGTGGTACTAGCAACGTGTTTAAACTGAATTAACTAACTTGGCACATAGTTTCATTGAATCTCCAGCAGAGGAAAGACAAGGACCTGCCAGTGTGGGTCCAAATGAGGACCACAAAGAGGAGGAGGGGGCTGAAGCACCTCTCCTATAAAGAGAGGGTTAGAAACTTGGAATTGTTTAGCCTGAGGAAGAGAAATTGAGATTTTACTTTGTCCTTTCCATATATATTTTTATTACATATATCTTATATAATTATTTCTTCTAAGAAAGACTTTTGCCAGGGCTTTTAGTGATAGCACAAGAGGTCACATTTTTAAACAGAAAGACAGTTGATTGAGGCTGTACATAAGAGAGAAAGAAGTTCTGTACTATAATGGTGGCAAGACACTGGAGCAGATTCCCAGAGAAGCTGCGGGTGCCACATCCCTGGAAGTGTTCAATGCCAGGTTGGATGTGGCTTCAAATAACCTGGACTATTGAAAATTATCCCTGCTCATGGCTGGAGAGTTGGTCTAGACGAACTTTAAAGGTCCAAAAACACTCAAACCACTCTGCGATTCTAAGTATCTGCGTTCTTCTGAGGATACCTATCTTTTTCCTTTTTTCTTTTTATTTCCCCCCAGAAGTAATATCAGTGTTCACAATTTTACAGTGTGCTTTTCCTCTTGAATCTCAAGTTTACATCAGGGAAACGCAGTCACATATCCCATGCTGGTTTTGATGACTCCAGAAGAGAACCCTGACAGAATTCACAAAAAATTCAAAATGCTTCTGCCAAAAATAATGCCAAGGCAAAATTGTTCTGCTGGAAATGCATCTGCAAAATGCAGAGAATCTGCATCTGTGGAGAAGCTTTATTGCCTGGAGCATTATAAATACATACACAGACAGCATACTGCCACAAAGCAGAACACGAAGACATAGAGAAGTGTTGCAGAGGCTACAGAGGAGTGTTAAGAAGCATTGGATCACTTGCCCTGTTTAGCCAAGTGTTGTCCAAGAACATCATTTCATCATGCTTGTCATCTTTTACTTCTCTCAAGTTATTGATTAGATGGTAACTAACAGCACTTTTCCAGTTTTGTTTTAATGTGATTCCTGTTTATGCTGTGTTTTTCCTGCTGTTAATCACACACACAGAACCATTGCAGTTGGAAAAGGCCCCTAAGATCATTGAGTTCAACCTTTGACCTATCACCACCTCGTCAGCTAGATCATGGCACTAAGTGCCACGTCCAGTCATTTCACATACACAGAATAGTCTGAGATGGAAGGGACCCACGAAGATCAAGTTCAGCTCCTAAGTGAATGGCCTCTTTTTTCCACGCTGAATACCCCCAGGTCTCTCAGCCACCCCTGATCAGACTTTTGCTCCAGAGCCTTCACCAACTTCATTACCCTTCTCTGGACATGCTCCAGCACCTCAATATTTGCCCAATAGTGAGTGGCCCAAAACTGAACACATGACTCACATGTATTCCATGGCTGTTCCCTTTGACCATAGATGCAACTAAATTTTATATAAAAAAGAAGGGACAATTGTGATCCTGTAGTGTGATCAGCTATGTAATATGCACCGTTGGCAACACCTGAGGTTATGTGTGTTTACTCGTGTTTACTCAAACATCTCTAGGAAGACCTTGGTAAATAATTTGCCAGTAGTAGAGATTCATTATGGCTTTCAATAAGATGTGCCAAACTATTTTCATTGCTAATTACCTTTCCTGGAAAAAAACAAACAAACAAAAACAAATCAGGAAAAACCCACCTTATTCATATTTTGAATTTGTTCACCTTGGGTTTCCAAACAAACAGTATGCTTATATTGAGTAGAAAAACTCTTTATGAAAGCTGTGATTTTGTTGAGATCAAGCAGATCCCTTCACCTTGATAAGCTAAATAGATCATGTTTTTTGTCTTTCAAGATGCAACCTATTTTCCCAGCTTAAATGTTCCTTATGTCACTTTTCTGATTTCAATTTCTGTTGTGGACATTGAGAACTGAATACCATATGCCAGAAACAATCATGCTAAAGGCAAATGCAGGGGTTATGTAATGTCCCTATTTATACATCTGAAAACGGCATATTTGCCATTTTGCTTGTGCTACTGCACTGACAAGTCATTTTGTCTTACTTATCAATCACAATCAATCCTATGGAACAGTTGGCTACAGAATAAAAGCAACCTATTCCTCCCTCCTGAGGATATACTTTACACTTGTTTTTTGTTGAAGTATGTACTATTCGCTTGAGACAGGGCAGTCAAGGTCACAGAACTGGACTGTATTATTTGCTACTCTTCCTATCTCTGTGTCTTTTGCAAATTCTATCAATGACAATTTGGGTTGGTTTTGTTTTTTTTTTTCAAGTGACTAGTAAAAAGAGTGTAGAGTCAAACAGCAATATCTTCACAATTCTAGTAGAGACACCCATAATGTACTTCCACATGTATAGTATGGCTAGAGATCTGCCTTTGTTCTCATGAGCTGGTGGAGTGGTCAACAGCAGACTGTGTATGGTACCCCATCCTGTGTTTTATCTGATACAGGCTGGCTTGTAACAGGCTGGCTAAACATTCAGATGTTGTGAGAGCAGTGGGACCTTCACTCCAAAGCAACTGCATGCATCAACTGGCAGCTCTGAAATTCTTTCAAAATTATTAAATTATAAAGCATATGAAGCAACCTGTCAAGGTTTCCCAAATGAGGCAAATTGAATGACAGCCCATCAAGGATCTGGGGATTGTTTAAGACCCATGCACTTACATCTTCACTTCCCTTGGCATTAAGCTCCAAGCTGTCGACCTCTGTCTATAGCAGAGAGCTCACTACTGGTGCAACACGGTCAGGCAGAAAGTCCTCCTGCTGTGCCACCTCTCTTGTGCAGTTACCTCTCTTGTTTGTTGCTGGCTAGGGATGCTTGGCATTCCCTCGTGCTCATGTGTACCCAGCTCTCTGATCTCCAGAATCTTCCCTCGTATGAGGAAAGTTGCCTTCAGCCAGGATCTTCACCTGCTCTTTTCTAGGCTCCAGCTTTTCCAGCCTGAATAGTCTGTACACAGAAGCAGATTGTGTGATCAGTCTCTTAAATGATGTCTCATGTCCCTTCATGAATTGGAGGATTCAGGACTTGCCATCTGTATTTAGACCAGGTGTTATCAATATTTACAGTTGTACCCCATGACTTGCAAGTAGAGAAGCAGCAGGCTGCTTCTTGGGAATGTAGAAGTTCTGCCTTGGATGTCTACTCACATACACACAGGCATTCAATTATCTGCTGCCTGCTAGCATTCACAGTGAAGCTATTTTTTCATCCATGGCACAAGCAAGACTTTTTGTGATTCAGAAGTACTTTCATGACTCACAGGCCCTTTTGATATGCAAGTATGACGCTTTAAATAGTACACTGTGACAGAAAGACAAGACGAAACAGGCAAAGTGGATTGTCTCCTTCCAGAATGTTGGTCCCTGGTAAGTAACACTCATTCACACACTTTAAGTATTAAACCACTGTAATTTTGTAATTTTTTTTCTGTTAGATACAACAGCAGAAAAAAATCCAACAAACTAAGCCTTTGTAAAAGGCAGTTAATTTATGCAAATCAAATGGGCTCCTCTTTCTCAATCCTCCACACAGAGCTGCAGAAAAACAGCTAAGGCACTTACCACAGATTCTCAGTGGGAGCTTCAGTGTCTGAGGGAAAAGTAGTTTTATACTACTGCCCTGTTAGTGAGAAAAAAATTAAGGTCTGGAAAATCAGACAAGTACCAGCCAAAAGTATTGTTTCTGCTCTAGCTGTGGCACTGGAGAAAGAGAACTTCTACACCGTGACTCTACAGCCACACTAGTTTTGATGTGTTCCAACCCTATTGCTCCCAAGGCAGATGCAAGCAGAAGCATCTGCTGGGCTGAGGGAGAAGAACAGATACTCCCATACATACCCAGGAGAAGTTCTGTAAGTCTCACAGTATCAGCAACGATTTCAAATTTTGTTCTCAAAATAGATGCTATAGAAAATGCATCACTCTGTGTTTTGCTTTTTAAATGCTTTTTTTTTCCAAGAGATTTTGGTAAGGCATTGCCTGCCTGCCTAAAACGTGACAGTTAGATGAGAAGCTTGTATCTGTTCTTGCAAGAATTACACACTTCCCAAACCTGAAAGATCAGGGGTCACATATATGTATCATTCTTCGATGAAAGGTCTGGATAGATGGATTCCATTATAAAGTCAGAGAGATTTTGAAACTGTAATGTAACTGGTCTCCAGTATTACAGCAATCGTTAATGAGAAGGAAGGCCATCTTCATCATGCAGAAGGGGATTGCCAATATTCAGGGAGAATTCCAAGTATCTACTGATCATCTAGTTGATGGTATGAGATCAAGAGATGTGTGGCAGCTCCTGGTTTCTAGGAAACATATGGTATGATTCAGAGGCATTTGCACAGCTGGGGCAGTGCTGGAGGACACTGGGAAACCAATGAAGTTAGATGTGTGGGCTATTTCAGAGTCATGTGCTAGCAAAATCTAGAGCGCTTTAGACAATAACTAACTATGTTTCAGTGATGCCAGGTCTGGCGTGCCACACCAGAGGAATCATGCAAAATGTAAAATATCCAAGAAAGTTTCTGAGTGAAAAGTGTTATGAGCATCTCAGCTACCCTTATTGATCACTTGCTATGAGTGCTGATCCTCCCCAAACATTGCCCTAAAAGTACACTCTGTTGTTACAGCAAAACTTAAGTCCCATGTATGTTTGAGAATCTTGAATCATGCTGGAACTAGCTAAACTGAAAAAAATGGGTAGTGATTTTGAAATGGTTGCTGTCAGACTTCCTGATTTTACTTCACTTGTGTAACCACAAAGTATCAAATTATAAGGAAACCTGATCTGCACAGTGAGCCCTATTTGCATTATTGACTCTACAGTTTGAACTGAAAAAGCTAGGCTAATCTGACACAGGCAAATTACAA